TTATTATATATAGGTATATTTTTTATACCCAGGGCATAGATACTCGGGTTCTTAGAGCCAAACTGAGCATGGGTATAGTTCATGTTGCCACTTACATTTATGTACATTTGGACAGATTAGTTACATACTTACCATTTGCTTCCCCAGCTATGACATACAAGAATAGTTATAAGGATGCTCTGAGGCACTAACACAAAGTACAACAAAGTACTTCAGACTAATACCTCCTAATAAGCAGGAAGCACTCAGTAGTCTGAGTTGGTAAGGTTCCTTTCTTCTTTCACCATGTTCTGTTAAATGTGAGAACATAGTGTCTAAAAATCAAAGAACTATGCCTGGCATGGGGCACTTATCTGTAACCCCAGCTACTTGGGAAGCTGAAGCAAGAAAATCACAAATTCCCGGCAAACTTCAGCAATTTAATGAGACCCTGTCTGTGGAACACACACATACACACACACACACACACACACACACACACACAGCACACATACAACTTTCAGAGGGTGCTGGCACTGTAGTATGGTGGTGAACACCCTAAATTCAGTGGTCAACACTGAAGACAGTAAGAATCAAAAACTATGATTCAACGTCAGAGGAAACCTCTGCCTGAGGCCAGCGCCTCATCGCAGCCTTCCTCTTTCACTCCCTGATCCTTGGTTACATATTCCAGGGAGAGCAGACACAACTCAGGCCTGCATCGCAGTGACCTTCTGGGTCAGAGGACCTGCCTCACCATGGCACGGAAGTTCCTAATCTAGGAATTATGAAATCAGATGCCATTCACTACCTGTTTCTTCATTCCTGGAGATTATGAAGGGCCAGCAAACCCTGTATATTTTTGTTAATGCTTTATTTTTCTCCCCCAAACATGATGTGCTGTTTAGTTTTTACAACATTTGGGACAGTGTGTGAGGGACTGACTCCTCCTTGCCTGTGTGGATGGGAAGGCTGAGTCCTCTTGAGGGGCTGAGTGCGGGTCTGATGCGCCATGCTGTGACTTGCTCCCTTCAGCTTTGTGATCTCTCTGCAGTAATGCTGTCCATTTGAACAGCTCCTCGGATGGAGTCCACAGAGAGATAACAAGGCATCGTGGAACATTCTAGAACACAGACACTATTCTGCCCAAGACAAAACAGCATGGGTTGCAGAGGCCTTTGATTCTGTGCCAAGTGTTGAGATGATAGGAGGATGAATCAGGCCAGTAAACCTCAAAGTTAGAGGACAAAAAGAATCCACTACCCCAGTTCTGCACACCTCTGGTCAGAATACCCCAGCCAGGCTCAGGTTATGGCTGAGGGATGGCTCTTGCTTACCTGGACCCTGCCTAGCCTTTGCTTTTTCCCCCTCATGTGACTGTGGAAATTAGGTCTTTATAGTAGTGGTTCTCAAACGAGTATATACAGGAGTCACCCGGAAGGCTTATTCTTAAAAATGCAGACTGCTGGGCTCTAATTCTAGAATTGCTCATTCAGTAGGACTGGAGTTGGGTCCAAGTACTTGCATTTCTAACAAGTTCCTAGATGCTGCTGTTCCCAAGATCATACTTGGAGGACCTTGGATTTGACAAGAATAGTTAGCAGGCTCACTGCCTGGCTCATGGGAGGGACAGATGCTGAGCCCCGCACATTCTGTCCCAAATACAGGGCAACCAGGTCAGGGCCCCTTCTTGAGGCTGTACATTTAGGGACCACAGAGAGGCTTAGCAGCTCGCAGGCCTGGGGCCTGAGGAGAGAGCTCCACAGCCTGCTGCTTCTCTATGCCCTGCACAAGGAGTGGACTGGGAGTTGGGAGGGATGAGTATGTTGTCTTCAATAAAGGGTAATGTAGCTAGAGCCCCCAGATGGAGTGGGCTGTAAGAACTCTTACTAGTGCTTTGTGGCAGGGAAGCAGCCCCGCCTCTTGTAGGGGCTGGGCATTATTTGCAAGTGTCGTTCACAACCATTTATTTCTGGCTCTTCAAGAATTCTTCTTAGTCCACATAGCTCCTTTCTAAAGGCACACTGGGGCACTGTAGCTGAAACCTGGACAGCAGACGCTAAGGCTGCAAGCCCACTCTGCCACTCTCGCAGAAAAGGGCATCATGCTCTCTGCTGTGCTGATCTCGCAGGTCTCAGCGTATGCGGATGGCACCAACGGCCTTCTCAGGCATGCTGTGCCTCCCACCAGGCAGGCGCGGCAGGCCCAGTGGCAGAGCTCTCAAGCGCCCCCAGCAGCCTCAGCCCTCTTTAGAGAGTCCAGGAGTGAGGCCACCAGAAGCCCTGCCCTGGCCTGCCTCCACTTGCCTCTAGAGCCACTGCCTCCTTCCAGCTGCTTTCCTCCTGTGGCGGGGAGATGGCACTTGGTTCTTAGCATCCTCTGGCTGCTAATAGCTTGAGCCCACTGTCACCTGGAAGACCCAGAGAGTGTGACCTCGAAAACCCCAAACAACAGAGAGCATTTCTTGCAAACCACCCATCTGGATGGGTGGGTGGGGCGCTGTGTGATTCCACACCCTCTTTTTTTTTTTTTTTTTTTTTTACTGGGGATCAAACTTAGGACTTTGTGTTTGCTGGGCAGGCAGTTAATGCCACTGAGCTATCTCTCCAGCCCTACAATCTCCCTTTCAAGCCCCCCCAGCCCTAGGGCCCCTGCACAGTCTCGGCACCTGTCCCTCCCCGGCGGGGGTGGGGGAGCGGAGCAGAAGCCGCGCTCTGCCTGCGCTTTCCGCCACCGCGCCACAGCCAATCCGCTGGTGCACTGCGGGTGACCTCCCACGGGCCGGGAATAAATTGTCAAGTTTCCCCACCGCGGTGTCTTTGCTAGCCAGGGCCACAGGATTCTGGGCTAATTAGGAAGAACGTGATGAGGAGCAAGGCGGGCGGGGACGCCCTGCGGGCAGAGCTCGGGCAGAAGCAGCCGGCGCGCAGCTCCGGGACCTGGACGGAGACAGCCGCGAGTCTCCGCGGGTAGAAGCTCGCTTCTTTGAGCTGGGAAGCTTTCCGGAGCCAGGTGCGGGCGGACGCAAGTTTTCTGGGGATCCGTGGCCTTGATATACTGGGCTCGGCTTCATCGCTGCAGGTGGAGTCACCTCTGGTCTGGGGACGTCGGGCTTGGCTGACCCCGCCAGGGTGTCCCCAGGCTGCCACCCTCAGACCCCTGTTTCAGATCTCCGGCGGCCAAGATGCAGGAGGTGCCAAGCCTCCTCCGTGCCGCGGACCTACACCAGAAGACCTGAACTGCCCCTTGGGTGGAGACTCTGAACTTCGTCTTCTGGAAACCCAGAGGCCACATCGGTAGGGTGGTTTTGTTTTGCGTTCCCTTCTCCTGGGCTTTGGCTTTGGAATTGTCTGGCTACCTGGATACGCCTTGCCTTTGTGGGTAAGTCTCCCGGATTGCGGCTGCAGTAAGGGAGCCCCAGGCATCACTAAACCGGAATCGCCTGCTTGCCTGCAGAAGAGAACTCAACTCCTGGTCCGCGAGGTTCCTTGAGGCCGAGAGGGTGATCAGGTCCACCTTTCCTCTGAAGGAGAGAAATATCATTTCATGGCAGGGTTTTCTTTAAGCACATTGTGTGATAGGATTGGCAATTACTAACCAGGAAAATGAGTAGCAATTAGGAGTTCAGTAATAAATGGAAGTCTATTGTCCTAATTGAGTGGAATTACTGACGGGTAATGGCAACACTGAATTCTTCGGTTTAATTAAGAGTTTATATAATTATAGAGCACTTTTTATTTCTTGGGGGAGCTGTGGGGTAGGAATTAAATAACCAGTGTGATGGTTAAGAAACCCATTTAATGGATAACTAACCAGTAGGTTGAAATAAATATGGGTGACTTGGTGAAGGAATGCTAGATGAATTCCTAATACAAAGGCTATGCTGGCTTGGGCCAGGCTAGACGTTTTTCACCCCTAATTCCTGCTTGATCAAATCTGAATAGTGTGGAAGTTACGAGGCAGGCAGACTCTGAAACTACATGCTGACCTTGGGGTCCACCAAAGACCCAAAGGCCCAGTGGCCTCCTGCAGTGGTGTTCTAACTCTGATCTGTGCTTTTATGGCTATGATTTCTGTCTCCAGGAATAGAAAGGGAGTCATCAGAGAGTTTTTTTGCTGCTAGAGTTTCTGTCTCAAAAATCTCGTGGTGCAGCTGTTAGGCTGTAAGTGCCGCTCAGTGAAGGGGATGGGCAGGCTTTGCCAAAGCTACTCAGCCCCGAAGCTGAGCAAAAGTGTAGGTGTGCAGTTTTCTTGGGACCAGCCTGTAATTATGAAGATGTTATCTTCCTCTTCGGTGGTGTATTGTTTCCTTTACTATTATGTTCTCAAGAAATTGTTCCCCTCGTGGGAAGCAATGAAGCTGGAAAGAAATACCTGCTTAGAGGATAATTTACTTGTATTTTTGGTGTCGGTTGCTGGGGAATCTTTTTAACCCTGCTTCCAGATGCATGCGTTTGTTTTCCTAAGACACTCTGGCAGGTTGGGAAATCTCTAGGTTTTGAGTACACTTGTAAATAATTAGCACTTGTGGTACTAATAGTTACGCTGCTCTGTACTGGACTTCTTTCTTTGCTTACACAAGGTCTGGATTTTCAACAGGATGATCCAGGCTCCCTCCTCCTGAGGCATACAGGTCACAAGCAGGTTCAGGGAACCACTGAAGTTGCACATCACTCCAAAAGAGACCGCAAGTGGTAGTGAGAGAGCAGGGCATCTTTACTACTGCGTGGGTTTTGGAAGTTTGTACGGCACGTTGGAAACTTGTTCAAACACTCTGTGTGTGAGTGCAAAACAAGGAGGGAAAGATCCTCGCTGGGTGTTTGCCTCCTGTCGTGAGCCCTTCCGGGTGCTTTGCAGGTAACCAAGGTCCAGAGCATGGAATTTACTTGACACTGTGCCATTGTTAGGGTCCAGAACTTTAAGGACTTAACTACTTTGTTTTTTCATTTTTCCTCAACCACATTTTATCCTTACTATCATGAAAATTGAGTAAAACTGTAGAAAACTCTTCTTCCAGGCACATGCCTTCTCCACACAGGCTTATGTTAGTGGTCACCTATTTCTTCTCTGGTTTGTGTTCTCCCCAAAGGGCAGTGCACACCCACTTCTTTCGTTTTTTGTTTTGTTTTGTTTTTTTTTTAGACTTGGAATCAATCAAACTCACAACCGTGAGCTCACCAGGCCGGCGCTGTGCCACTGAGCTATATGCCGACCCTCCTTCTATTCTTTGTGAATTGTAGAACAGACAGATGATTGAATACACGACATGCCTGGAAACTTAAGACCTATCCCACTCCAGAATGACAAATGGCCAAGTTTCCTAGCTCTGAAGATCACAACATCATATTGCCCATCTCCCCTGAAGTGTTCACAGATTCCTCTCACACCTTACCGCTAGCTGTTCAGTAGATAAATGACTTAAGAAGCAGAGCGGGGCATGCTGCCCTCTCAGAAAGGCTGCGCTAATCTCTCCCTAACGTCCAGCCTACCCCAAGGTTATCTTTTTGACCAGTGGCATTGGGTGGGATGATACGGATGCTCCCTCCCCTGATAACATCTTGAAAACTGCTACCAGATTCCTTTTCTCTTTTTAAAACCTGCTGAGTTGCCACCTACGTATTTATCTAAAATCAGTCCAAACAGAAAAAACTAGAGACAGGTTTGAGAGCTCCTTGTAAATTAGGAATAACTTTAAGTCAAAGCCAGATTTCTATACCAGATAAAATGGTCCAACTTGGAACAAGATGCAGACTGGACCTGGATGCTTTTAGAATGTACCATTCTTAGGGCAAAAGCTAAAAAAAAAAAAAAGAAGAAAGAAAAGATGCTGCTCACCACCCCTCTCTTTACCATTTTTAAAAGCTTCTTCCCTGCTTGCTCTTAGGCTGCCTGCATGGCTGGGTAGTTGGTATCAGTCTCCACTTATCTGCCAATTGCACAAGGCAGGTTACTTGCTCCTGCCCAAGTACATCCCTGCAGCCATACTGTAGCAATAGAACACAAAGTAATGCTCAGGCTGCATTCACCACCTGTCCAAGGGGATTCGCTGCTGGAAGTACCTGAAAATCCTAGGCTGGACACCCTCACCTGTAACCCAGTTCCATGCCCTGGATCTCAAGGACAGAGTCATATCAACCCCTTTAAATGACCTACTAAATGGTATCCTTTTCCCTTTACATTCGCCCTAATGGCTCATGGAGTCTTCCCATGTGGACTCGGAGTAGTCCCTCAAGGTTATCTAAGCTCCTGCCGCTCAGCGTGGGCCGGATCAGCAGCTCTGGAGTCACCCAGATATCATTAGAAATGCCAAACTCAGATCTGTGCTCTCATTTGTAGGATCAGAATCTGCACTGTAATAGGCTCCCCCCAGACGACTGGGACGCAGTATGATAGGTTGGGTTCTCCAGTGATACTGATCTGAAATAGAAATTGGTAAGCAGAATATTTATTAAGTCATGCTGCTAGCATCAGTGCCTGTGAGCGAAAGAAGAATGAGTAGGAATGGGTAGAGGAAGACATCAAGCTGGAATACAGGCCTACTGACACAGTGGTCACTAACCAGAGCTAGATTCACCTTCAGAATTGTCCCATGTTGGGCAGAGATAGCCAAGCCTCAGAATTCCCTGCTGATAGCACCACTAGCACCTGAGCAACAAGCCTTTCATCAGGCGGTACCTAGTGGTGCACCGCAGTGTCCACCACAGGGATTGCTGTTGGGGGCAGAGCCACTCTAGGCCAGTGGATCTCAAAATGTGGCTCCAGCCCAATAGGACGTGCTCCATGGAGCACTTATTAGAGATGCAAACTGCAGAGCCTCGCCCCAGACCAGCTGGACCAGAATGCACGGGACAGGGCCAGCAACCTATGTTTTATCAAGTTCTCTGGTGACTCCTGTGTGCCCTAGTTGAAGAACCACTGCTCTAAAGTAAATTTTTTTCTGGTCTGTTTGGCTTTTCAATGCCAGAGTTATTGAAATATAATGCACATTCTGTATCAGTACTGAAATTTTGCCTACTTTAAGTGCACAGTGATTTTTAGAGTATCCACAGATTGTAGGACCATGACCACTAATTACTGAAAAATTTTGTGGACCCCCGAAAGAAATCCATTAGTCACACTCCACACACCCTTTCCAAAATCTGGGAACCAGCAGTATGCTTTCTGTCTTTATGGATTTTCTTCTTCTTGACATTTTATTTCACAGAGATGGAATAATATAGGAAGTAGCTTTTGTAGCCCTTTCCTTAATGTTTTCAAAATTTATCTGAGTTGTAATATGCATCCTTGCTCCAGTTTTAAGAGGGTTGCACAAAGTTGTGGACTAATGTTCCATGAAGCACTCTTGTTTTTCTGGGGTGCACATGCCTATGAAAGAGCTACTCACAGCCTCAAGACTTTGTTCAAGACTTTGCCCCTTACCATCCTCAGTAAGGTGAAGCAACTCACCTGTTTTCTCCTCTGGATAAACATCACTTGCCTGTGTATTTATCAGAATGCTTATAAAGATTGATTATAGTGCTCTATGAGCAAGTACTCAGAGCAATGAGATTTGCTTTATAGCACAGGTTGGAAAAAAGTTTGCAAGCATCCATAATAGTCTCTGATTCCTTATTAGCAGATCACAAGGTAGCAATGCCAGGTTTCTCCAGCCTCCCAGGGCAGGTAAATCTCTCAAGGTACCTAAGACATTAAGGGAATCCCCAGGGCTTACAGGTAGCCTCCCTTTATAGGTAGCAACACATCTTAAGTATGACATATTGGGACAAAAGAGTTTCAAAACAAGAGTTGTTGAAAAGCCACTTGCCACACTCACCTAGTGAGGGCCACTGTGCCTGTTCCGAGACCAGCTACTTCACACTGACCGTCAAACAGCGTGACCGCTGATCCTGGCAGGGGAGGAAACCAAAGCTCCAAGCAGTGACTTGGCTAGCGGCGTGGGCTGCAGTGTGGCACAGCCAGGACCTTACCCCTGCTCTGTTGACATCCGGCCAAGTGTCTTCATCTAGCAGCTTTCCTTTACAGGTTGTGAAGGATTAATGATAGGATGTTTTGGTTCTTGGTCTATAAGTGGCTCCTCCCTGGGATGCATAGGTCTCATGATACCTTGCACTTGTGTTTGTTTGGCGTAGCAGCTGCGTATGTTCCATTGGAGTAATATATTCCGAGTGCGATGAGGTCACCCTGACTCTCATAGAGGAAAAGTGCTGTAAAAGTACACAGAGAGGTTGAAGTGTTAGGATATTTATGGAGTGTACTTACATTCTCAGTTTCTTCCAGAAGCCCTTGTATTTAGCTGGGTAATAGAGTAGTATTTGGGTCACTCTTGAATATACTCAACACAAACCAGTGACACTACAGAGTTCAAAAAGCAGGCCAGGACA